TTGTGGCCTCCGATGTCTAGAGTCCTGAGTAGTGTCGTACGCAGACGGATCGACTGCAGACTATCCACACCCAGACTGAAGATGTCGGTTGTCGCACCCAAGGTAGAGGGATCAACACCTGGTGCGACCTCCAGTAGCTGCTGACGGAGGAACTCTTCCAGCTCCGCCCCCTCAAGCACCTGGTCACCACTTGCATCCTCCACATCGTAGATCTGGTCAATATGTTCCTGATAATCGCGATAAAAGGCGGCGCGAATGACAGTGCCCTTGTCTGTTTTGCGATAGGGAGCATCCGCGGGCAGCACGTGGATCATATCGCGGGAGAGGTAGGCATAAGCCGGCAATTCCGCATTGCAGCGCTCGATGGCTGGGAAGACTGCCTCAATTAGCTGGTCATCTGTCTGGCACTTGCTACTTGTTGCTGGAATAAGAAACAATCCAAGACGCGGCTTGTTGGCTCCAAAGGCGATCGCTTCGGCAACGTTGGGGTTGTTACGCGCCACGCCCTCGATGATGAGTGGATTTGCCTTCTCGCCGTTCTCCAGAACCAAGGTGTCATCCAAGCGGGCATAGTAGCGCCACGCGTTGGGCTTAGTCGGGTGCTTCTCGAAGAGATCCTTCGTTGCATATGAGCTGTCGGGCCGGTTGCTGGCGACCTTGGAGGGCCAGCCTTCCAAGACGCACAGCTCGTAAATCCCCGACATCTGTTCCTCCCAACGCAAGTAGGGCAGCAGGGATGGACCCGGGCGAACATAGTCCCAGTCCAGGTCATCCCTCTCGCGGAACGAAGTCATCAGTTGACCGGTCTCGGTGGTTCCGTAATGGGAGACCAGACGCACTCCGTTCTGCACCAGCTTATCTCCAATGGGTTTCGGGCAGGACGAACCTCCAAACATGACCAGCTCTAGACGGGCCATCATGTGCAGGCCCTCGTCGGATTCGGACAATAGCTTCAGTGCATAAGGTACTGCATACAGGATCTCGATTTCTTGGTGGTCCTTGAGAGTTGCCAGTAGATGCGGGGCCGTCAGTGGTAGATTCGCATTGTAGAGGTAGATCAATTTCTGCGAGTGCATGGCTCGGAAGAGACAACTGATACCGTGCGCGTGAAATAGCGGCAGGGTGATGAATCCCCGGAGGCCGAAGTTGTTGGCATAGTTCTTCAAGGCTCCGGAGTGCGTCTGGTAGATAGGCTTCGGATGGCCAGTGGAGCCACTTGAGTGGATAATCCAGCAGATATGCTTTGCCTCTATGCTGCCATTCAACTGCGCTGGTGGCAAGCATAGGGTGTCTGCACCGGGGAGATTGTAGTTCTCACTCGTCAATACCGGTTGCTGTACGATGGCCGTCCGCGACGCCACCCTCTCCCCAACCGCCTGGAAGCTGGGGTATGTGATGAGGAAGGCAGCCTTGGTGTTTTCGATCAGACTGACATAGGCATCTTCGGCAATGCGCGTCGATAGCAAGAGCACTGTGTGACCGAGACGGGAGATAGCCAGCAATGTGATCATGTACTCAAAGTCGGAGGGACCCAGCAATCCTACAACCTGTACGGGATCGTCTGAAGACCGTCGCTGTGGGATGACCTTTGCATAACGGACCGAAGCGGCTTCGACGAAGGTGTTCAACTGGTGGCAGAAGTAGTCAGTATCTCCTGTGACTCCAAGAATAGATGCGAATGCATGCTCACCTGCTTGGGAGTATAGTATGTGTACTCGGTACCCGACGATGGGTAAGCGACAATAGGCTCGTTTCCATGAAGTCCTTTGGCTCGAGCCTGTATGAGGTGGTTGATTGTGTGAATGGTTTCTTCTGCAGATTCCGCCTCCAGCTCGTCTACCGACGTTGCGGGTGATGATGCACTCAGTCTATTTGGGGAGGAGAGCGACGAAGGAATTGGAGAGACTGCCACGGATGCCATCTTGAACGCAAAGTGGCGTAGGGGAGGGAGGAAGAGTAAGATGATGGATGTTGAGAATAATCCCAAGTAGCATGGGGGATTTCTTGAAGTTTATGAAATGCCATTCACAGGCAAGTCTTATCGCAACCTGCTCATGTGTCTGGACTCCGCATCTCCGGATTAGTCTACGGGTATTGACTAGATTGCTCATTGGAAGATGGAATGGAGATGATGCAGATGCCCTCCATGCCGCATCTCCGCCTGCATCCCCGCCCTTTTCCGCCATGGTTTTCTCCACCGGCGGAAATGCCTCGTGCGGGGAAGGAAAGAATCGGAGGCACCGGAAGCCCTGCTCTTCTTATCATTTGCGCTATGGATACGCTTTCTTCATCGATTATTCGATGCATCGGATTATATTTGGCGGAAATGCTCTTAATGGAAGGGTACCTACAGACTCCATGTGATAGTTATGTCACCGGCTGTGACTTAAGCCATTCCTACTAGCAACAACCTATGCCAAGGTAGAAGGCTCAGTAATAACGCTCAAATCAGTAGAAACCCATGTAATGTGAAAGATTTGTTCTCTAATTACTGCCAGTAAATGTCGAAGATTCTAGCTCTGGATCATAATGTACAAACGAAACCAGCCGCGACAGCACCGCAAACTCCAGCTTCAACTTGACGGTATAGAAAAAGGTCTTCATCGAGGTCTGCAAGATAAATAAGTCCAAGTATTCCAGCGCTAGCAGCGAGATATCCATCAAGATAATCGCCGTGTTGATAGCCAGTAGCTGCTCCATGATATTTGTCCTCCGCTTGCTCCGATGCGGGTAGAGATAGAGCAGCCGAAACGTCTGCACGATGAAGATCGTTGAGATGATCACCTCCTGCACGAAGAAGCCCGTGAGCTGCACCTTGGCCCAAATGTTATAGACATATGCGAATCGCGCCCCGCCGTAGACGGCACCATAGGACAGGATGATCTGCGGAATCTGCAGGATGATGGCGTCGATGATGATCATGTAGAGAACGAAGCGGAGGATCTTTTGATTCGACAAGATGAGATGAAGTCGCGAATATAGCACCACAGACTGTCCCGTCACCATAACAGCCCAGCCAAATGTTGATAGAGTTACTGGAATCCATAGCGGCGCCAGCTGGAAGTACTTCAGCAGCAGTCCGATCGCTTGCGGGATGATGCCGAGCCCGGTTGAGACAAGCAGACTCCAGAAGTAAAGGCCCCCATAAACGTGAAAGGTGAGAAAGACCAGGATAATGAGTTCGATCGAACTGTACAGCGCACAGGCTAGCAAGCTGGCTAGCACGGCCTGGATTGCGAAGCTGTTGCCCGTATAACCCCCGGTGATGCCCTCAACGGGGGCCGAGTAATTGGCCATGTTCCCTGGGGAGCAACACCGTCATCCAGGCACATCCTGAAAAGAAGCGATTCCCCCTGAAGGATATATGCCATGTGCTGATCGACATAGGAACGAAGTCGGGGGGGATGAGGATGTTCCGGCGCTCGGCTACCTTGACCTCGTCTGACCTACGATCCATGGATCGTCTAACGTAAAACCCCGGTTCATTCGCCTGAGCGGCCAACCAGCCCCATTCAACGCAGGACCAAAAGCTGGGGTTGGCACCGTTAGCCAGTAACTTAAGATGGGCGCGCTAAGGCCAACCACATCTGGAGATCGGGCCGCCTGTTTAAGGTGCTGACGCGTGGAGTGGCCGGACTGCATCCGGCTTCTTTCGAACTTGCCCAAACCACTCAATTCTATCATTCTAAAATACATTGTGATCGGCTATACAGTAAACTTAATCTTGTTACTGGGACCCGCGGCCAGTGCAGTCTGGCGTACCGCCTCTTCACCGACCTCCTCGAAGATGTCGTATCCCCAATTGCCCGGGAAGTTGAAGCGTTTGTGGCGTTCCAGCGAGGTCAACTGTGCAAAGGCCCCCTCCGGCAATGCCCGGATTCTCAAGTTAGCTGCAATGCGAGCGGGGGTGACACTCTTGGATAGCACGACGGTGCCACGCTGCACGCCCCAGCTGGCCAGCAGTGGTCCGGGGTCCATGCTAAGCTCGCCCGCCACGCGGTGCACCAGCGGGTCGTCGACGGTGCGCGGCTCCCCAGTCTGGTTGTTACCCAGCGGAGAGTAGGCCTCGATGAGAATACCTTTGCTCTGGCAGTATTGCAGCAGGTCCGGCTGTTGCAGGTAGGGATGGGCTTCGATCTGGTTGACGGCGGGCACGACGGAGACTTGGCCAAGCAGCTCCTCCAAGCGACGGACATTGAAGTTGGACACGCCAATGGCGCGTACCTTTCCCGTCGCTAGCAATTTCTCCATGGCGCGGTAGGTGGTGATGTAGTCAATGTCGGCCAATTCGAACACTCCATCCTCGTTGAGGGGAAACCATTTGTCGCCACCCTTGAAGGCACTGTACAAGGGGTCAATGCTTTGTCTCCACCAGACAATCCCGAATGATGGAGTAGATGGTCACTTACCAGGGCCAGTGCATGAGATAGAGATCGAGGTAGGCGACGCCTAGATCTTGCAGGGTCTTGTTGAGGGCTGGCTCCACGTCCTCCGGAGCGTGCTTGGTGTTCCACAGCTTGCCAGTGATGAAGATCTCTTCACGGGGCACCCCGGACTTGCGAATACCATTGCCGACTTCTGTCTCGTTGCGATAGATGGCGGCGCAATCGATGTGGCGGTAACCCTCCTTGAGGGCTACTTCGACGGCGTTTTCTACCTCAAGGGGCTTGGCTTGCCAGGTACCAAATCCCACGGCGGGGATTTTGGCGCCGGTGTTGAGGGTAAAGTGCGAGGGTAGGGACATGTTAGGCAACAATTCTATTTCTCTGTCTTTGACAAGGAGACCAACTATTCAGCTAAGATGGTGGTGGTCGCTCATATAGTCAAGCAGCGCAACACAAGTGGGTCGGAAATCCGACAGCCAAACGGCGGATAAACGTAGAGTTCGGAGAAAATGAACCCTAGAGCCAACAAGATGCCAATTGACTCCATTCTCATGATCCACTCTTCATTTCTACCCCGCCAAACTCTCTCTCAGGCGAAAGAATAGCCGCAACGCAATGCCGTTCAGCAAGAAGCCCGCCTTCGATGACTTGCCGCTGGACAAGACGGGTCCGCCCGGCAATGCATGGGGATTATTTGGACCCGACGACCAGTGTGGTATGTTGAATCTTCTCACCCCCGATCGAACGCGTGCTGCTGCAAGCGAAATCCGCGACGGGGTTCGCATTTCCACCGACTGGCCACTGGATCGTATCACCACGCCCGCATTCAATCGGATCCCATTTGCCCAGACCATCTCAAACATCGCCCCCACATCTGTCAACGATGACATTCTGCACTTCAACACCCAGTCTAGCTCGCAGTGGGACGGTCTGCGGCATTTTGGCTACCAGGAACAGCGACTGTATTTCAACGGCCGTACCCTCGACGACATCCTGACTACGAAGATTAATGGGATTCACAGTGGGTATTTCCATCCGAAGACAAGAGATCGATGGAGAGTTTGTTCTAATCGGTCTTGCAGCATGGGTGGAAACCGGTGGCATCATCGGACGGGGGGTCTTGCTAGATTATGTCGCTTGGGCAGAGGCCAACCATGTCCCTGTGAAGCCTTTCACAAGCCAGTCCATCACAGTCACTGATCTGGAGAAAGTGGCCCAGGCTCAAGGCACAGAGTTGAATCCCGGTGATATCTTGTTCATCCGAGCGGGCTGGGGACGGGGATATGCCCAACTATCTCAAGATGAAATCTCTGCGATGGCTATCATCCCCACGCCCCCGGCGATCGGGATCGAGTCGTCAGAGGCCACACTCCGGTGGCTCTGGGAGAAGGAATTCGCTGCTGTCGCTAGTGACACCCCGAGCTTTGAGGCCTGGCCGTGCCAGGACTTCAAGTACTGGCTACATGAGTGGCTGCTGGCCGGTTGGGGGCTTCCGATCGGGGAAATGTTCGATTTAGAGCAGCTGAGCGAGGAGTGTCGAAAGAGGCAGCGCTGGTCATTTTTTTTCACCAGCGTTCCATTAAAGGTGAGTTATACTGCCGACTGTGATCCGTTGTTTCCCAATTTATTCATAATCCGCTTCCTCGACTAGGTTCCCGGAGGAGTGGCTAGCCCGCCAAATGGAGTTGCCATTTTGTAGTGCTGAAAGATGTTTATATGGCCAGCTGGCCTGGCGTAACACACTGCAACCTAGACTATTCGTCACCCAGGTTTTCATGGTAGCTTTGTACGACGTCACACAGGGACGGGAGGTTGGAAGTAGATGGGCATGAAGAATCCTTGGGGAAGACAGCCCTGGAAGCTGACGAATCAAACAACGGTACGTTGAAAGGCCTCCAGTAGACAGCATATCCGACTGGGAGATATTCGAATTTAGATTTGTAAAGATGATTATACCTGCATGTTGTTCTACATGGAAATCTGCAAAACCTTACCCACAACTAGTGGTCTGAATACGGTACCATGCTATAGGTACGCCAGATCAACCCAAGCTCTATTACGGAGTGAGCGATTGTGTCATGACGGCACAACTTAACTTTGACCATAATGTCTTCACCCATGACACGAGCGGAGGGTATGGGATAGGCTACTGACATAGAAACGTACCCTCCACCCGACGTTGTCGGGAAAAGGATTTATATCCCAAGGTGATGTCGCAGCTTCGGGATGCGGATATACATCGGAAATGTCGGGAAAGACATGGAGATAAAGCAGTGTCAATATCATGGAGAGTTTTGGATTCCATGTTGCCGTCGAGTCGGGTGGCGAGTTAGGTTAGCGACCGCTAGGGTGAAAACGGATGCGCGAAAATGAACAGCCCGAGTTTACAATGATACAACAGTACAATGTCCAACTGGGCCATTGACAAAAAGGTCTGGTACATGGATGCATATAAAGTGCTGGATAGCGAGATGATGAGATGGAGATGCAAAAGCTGATACATTCCGGACATCCTCTGTCTAAGCACCGGCACAGTATTTAAGCATGATCGAAGCATATGAAACAGATCTGGGGAAGTTGACAGGCAACCCACATGATTCCGGGGTGGATCCAGCGCTGGTCTGATGCTGAAGGTCTGATGCTGAAGTCAATACGAGAAACCCGGAACAAGTCCGGTCTGGCCAGTGCCAGTCGCCAACCCCAGACTGGGGGATATCCGCTCCTTTCCCGCTCGTGGGGACCCCGCACTGACAGATGGGAGATAGTGTCATGGCATCTGGGGTACAGCAACCCGACTGCAGCCGGGGAGCATTATAAAACCAGTGATGCTCTTATGTTCGAAGGATGTTGAATCCTCTTTCCTTCTCGTCTTCTTCTCGTTACAATCTGCCCATCTTTACCCCAAAATCAATATTCGTTCTTAGCCACCCCTGGTGGCCTTGGCCCTTGATACTGTTCCGATATCGGCTGTTGTAGCCCCGGCAGTACATACCAACATCATCTGACAGCATGGCAGAGATTGACAACAAAGCATCATCTCGCCATGTCGAGTCCACTGGGAAGCCATTGGACTTGGTGGATGAATCGTTCGAGGGGTTGACTCCGGAGGAAGAACGGGCCCTGGAGAAGCGCCGTAAGAATACACGGTGGTTCCATACTACTGGGGTAATCGTGTGATGCTGACTGCCGGCAGTGGTGCGCAAGATCGATCTGCATCTGATTTCTTCGCTGTTTCTACTATTTATTTTCAATATCCTGGACCGGTCCAACATCGCCAATGCCCGTCTGGGAGGGCTACAGGAAGACCTGGGCCTTTCTGACACACAATATCAAACTGCGGTAGCCATCATGGTATGTAAAGTGCCCAATCCTGAGACGTGAAACGGTGCTGATCGATGTCGGTGCACAGTTTGTCGGCTACCTGGTAGGCCAGGTGCCGAGTAACATTCTGTTGACCCGTTTGAAACCCTCCCGCTACATTCCAGCAGCCATATTCATCTGGGGAGGGATTTCGATCTGCATGGCTGCGGTACATGGGTACGCCGGCATTATATGCGTGCGCATATTCCTGGGGTTCGCCGAGTCTCCATTCTTTCCCGGGGCTTTGTAAGTACCCAGTATCAAATCCGAATGATCTTGTCTGTGAACGAACTCTAACGAGCGTTACCATCAGGTTGCTGATAAGTTCCTGGTACAAACCGTCCGAAATTGCGGTGCGAGTAGCCGTGGTGTATTGTGGTAACACCATCGCCAACGGGTTTGGCAGCATGTTTGCCGCGGGCGTCATGAGTGGATTAAACGGCAAAGGCGGGCTGGAAGGCTGGAGGTGGGTATCTCCTGGCATACTCTGGGAGCGTATAGCTAACCAGTGCGCGAACAGATGGCTATTTATCATTGAAGGGGCTGGCACAATGGTGGCCGGCCTTCTCGCTGTCGCGCTTCTCCCAGACTTTCCTCGTTCCGGGCAGCGGAAGTGGCTATCGGAACAGGAGCAGCGCTTTTCCGAATGGCGTCTCGCCCGCGCCGCAAATGATGAGGTCGATGAGAATGGTTCCATCCGCGAGGGCTTGCGGGATGCATTATTAGATCCCAAGGCGTGGATGTTGATCCTGATCCAGGTTTGCCAGCTCACATCTCAAAGCTGGACCTACTTCTTCCCTGTGAGTACCACTCATTATGTTGTCCGCTACTCTGGTTCTGACTCATGTACTATTAGACCATCGTCAAAACACTGGGATTTAGCAACATCATCACGCTGCTGATTACGGCTCCGGTGTACGTCTTTGGCTTCATCACCGCTCTTGGTAATTCCTTCATTGCGAACCGAACGAGCCAGCGCGCAGTTCTTATCGCGTGGCCTCTAATTATAGACATCGTGGGAAACGTCATGGTCATATCGTCTCGAGCCACTGCAGTCAGGTACATCGGCATGTTCTTAATGTGCGCTGGTTCATATTCCGCTTTCAATGTCGTTCAAGCCTGGATTGCCAGTACGATCCCGCGGACACGCACCAAGCGGGCCATTGTGTACGCGTTGGTCAACCTCTTCGGTAACTCGTCCAATATATACGGCTCGTACTTCTTTCCCACATCCGACTCGCCACAGTACCGGCCTGGTGGTATCACCCTTTCAGCGTTTGCTGCTGCCGGAATCGTCTTGACTGGGCTGTTGGCATTGTATCTCCATACGCTCAATGTGAAGGCACAAAAGGCAGAGGAGGAGGACGGGCAGATTCGTTATAAGTATATCTGGTAATTGGTTGCTGAGCAAGTGCTGAGTGCCGGGGTGGAATAAATGGAAACTTACCAACTTGCGAGACTTCCCAAGATTACTGACTGGGCAAGCCGGTCCTGCTGTAGCTCTGTCGTAGACACCCTACCTGGATATATGGCGCAAGAGCAAGATTCCGGTCGGATTACCAGTAAATATGTGAATAGATCTACTAATTGAGGTTCTCGCGTCCCAGTCACATTCGAACTCCGCATCAGCCGGGGTATGCTGGGTTAATTAGCACCTACTAGGCGTTCTTGTCGACTACGAGAAGAATGCTTACAGATAGGCAGGCTTTCTAGCTGTGGCCAGAAATCGAGCACCACGTTTTCGCCCATGATGAAAGTGTCCAACAGGGACTGTGTCCTGGGATCGAGCAGCACTGGATCAATAGCGGGGTCCAGTCCAGAAAATATGGTCGGCAACATATTAGGATCAGGGTCATAATCCCTCACCGCGTTGCCTTCTGCCTGCTGCTCACGGCGGCCCATCTCACCGCTATGTTCGGTCGGACGAGGGCTCCGTTCGGAAACTGGATGAGATAGCTCATTCGGCCCGGTAGCTTGAGCGTCGCCAGTGTCCATCGGGGAGACGAGGCGGGCCAGCTCGTGTCGCAAACCCTGCAAGATGACACTGTATTTCCAAGAAGGGGCGTTGCGAGCTGTTGCGTCGGCGAGGTGTGTCACTGCCGTCTCGGACAGTCTGTAGAGCGTGGGTTCATCCAAATCTGCATGCAAGGTGTGTTCCGGGCTCCGGACAAAGTCGAGACCAGCAGAAGGCAGACGGTTGCGTCTGACCTGGATCAGGTATAGATAGATGATTGATAAAGCATTGAATGCAATGTACTGTGAGTACCAAAATGCTGGGAACAATTCATCCTCGCGCACGAAGCTAAGTATCAATTCTAGGGCTTCTCGCGCTGCGGTAAGACAAAGATGCAGATGGTATCGGTAACTGCTTCGGTGTTCAGGCCACATTTGCCCATAATCCAATAATAGGAGAGGCCGTGTGATGAACATCAATGCATGATGACGAGCCAGCTGCAGAACTGTCAACTGGCGCCGAAAAACCGGAACCAAACTACTGGGTTGGATGACCCCTGAGAGAAAAGGAGGCAGCTCTGCTTGCCATTTCGCGATCTTGCCACATAGGCCTCGAATGGTCTCAACCTCCGTCCGATCGGAGAGGCCCGAGAGAACGTAAGGTTCCTTGGCCGCCTGGGTAAGAATCTGTGCCAAAGTCGCATGAAAGACTGGCGCATCCATTACACAGTCACGTCTCGACAACCGCCTTTCCCGCGTTGTTAGGTCTTCGTCATTGACGCGCGTGGGAAGATCTTCGTCCAAGTCTTCATCATGCCACAGTCGCGGTCGACCAAGGATCACACTGAGATACTTGTCCAGAGTGTAAGAGCACCATACAAGGCGCCGTTGACACTCCTGCTTCACCAGATCCTCCTCTTCTTCATGGTGCCTCCTCGCCCATCGATTGTGCAAACCAAGGGCCATCATCAGCTGGACTGTTGTGCCAAACACGAACCACGCCTTCTGGGCTCGAGAGGAGCTCAGCAGATAAAGCACCATCAAAAAACGAGCTTGCACCGAGGCCAGAGTAGGGGCACCCGTCTCGAGCGACAGCAGATGCTCTGCCTGCGCGTAATAAAGCTCGCTGTTGCGCCAGCCATCCTCGTCGGCATCTCTCATTCGACCGTCCTCATCAACGCGGAACATGGCTGCAGTACTCAGGAGTAAGAGCAAGACGGCTTGGGATGCTACATCGAGCTGGCTGCCGATCCGGTTGCCCTCTGAATTCTCCTGGTACAAGCGCTGGACCAGGGTGTGAATTGTAGGCTGATGAAGCACGCGATATGTCGGTGCTGCAAACTCGAAATATCGGCGGATCAAGCTTTTGGCTCTGGCCTGGCTTGGCCAGACAAAATCTGATAACTGAACCTCGGGAACTACACGATCACCGTAGGAGAAGATGGAAACTGTTGCTGAGGCATCGGGATCCTGTGCCGGGGCAATAGGCTTGGAGGGACTGGCATGTAAGTCCTCCACGACCCTGCCCAGAAATGAATGTGCTGAGCTCGGACCCCAGTACTGACCGGTCCCGTCTACTGAGCCTCGTCGAACAGATGCATCGATGATAGAAGACTCGGGGAGTGTACCTGGCCCCGATGCAGGGCTGCTCTGCAGGCCTGGCTGGGAATGCTCGGTAACTGAGCGAAGGACAGAGGGAGACTGCAGGGGCTGGATCGCACCTGGAGCCGGATCTGGATTGCTGCGTGAGCTGCCGTGCTCCCGCAGAGGGCGATGGTTCTTGGGACGCGATGATGAGGGAGGAGGGCTGAGCGCCACACCCCGATTGTAGGCGGAGTCGTAGGTGCACGCCAAGTGACGGCGGGAGCAGGGACCACAGGGGATGTTGCCCGTACAAGCCTTCTTTTTGGCCTTGCAGGCATCGCAGGCGCGGGTCACCTTTCGGATCTTTCTCGCGCGCGTGGCGGGTGAGGCCTCCTCGCTGGCCGTCATTTCCGCTTGCTGTTGGAAATGCTCCGCACACAGCTTTAACGGGCGGATGTAAGTCGATAGTCAGCCTCAGAACCCGCACATATGCTCTTTCGGATCAGATAGTCGGATGCTGCAGCTCATGTGCTTGCCTGTAGGATGATCCAGGATGGTCCAGGTAGATTGACCGGCTATTACTGGGAGGGAAACCCGGTTCCCCGATCAGATCCGCCCGCTTGTTTCCTTTTTCCGCCACCATTTTCCGCTCTCGGCTGACTGGCAGCTGACTCATCCCGAGTTGCAAGCATGAGGAATCGGTGTCTGTCAACAGTCCATAGCATTAGTATACTGGGGAGTAGGAGGATTGAGTGGCTGGAGTGTTAAGACTTCTGTATGAGCACAACCGATTTGTAGTATCAATGCTAGTAGTGCTGTCGAGTAGTGGTTCTACTAGCCTTGGATGAACTGTTAATAGTACCAACTAGTAGTACTGGGAGCGGTTGTTGTATATATTTCCGGTCCAGCGCAGCCAGGACTGATGGTAATGATACTTCCTAAGTACTAGTAGTGGCTGACGGTCATAATCTCCAGACTAGTACCCAAATAGACAGTGAGTAATGAGCCTTATGTAGGTTTTAATAGCACATCGAATAACAGGATTATTCGCAATTGTTCATCTGTCAAGTGCTGCAAAGCAAAGCAAAGCAGTAGTAGATGAGGGAAAGGGAAGATGCCGACCGGGAAAGCCGTGGGTCCCGTGCTCTGATGCCTGAGGCTCTCATGGATCTCAAATGGTCTTCCGCCTCCTCCACTTTTGGAGAAGCACATCACACCCAACACCCAACACAAAACACAACAATATCACCACCACCGCACCTCTCCTCCAATTGCAACAATTTTTTTTCCCCTACTATCTACTATATCAAAACCCACCCGCGAGTCCATATATCGCATGTACCACCAACACTGAATGCCTATGGATCCCAAGGCCCAGACGCTCGACGACCGGTCAACAGCTCTGCCTCCCCACCCTCCCGCACCAGAAAGATGTCTTCGTGCCGTACCCCGAATCGATCCACCAGATACACCCCAGGTTCCGAAGTGAACGTCATGCCGGCTTGAAGGAGGGTCGCATGGTTGCCCTTGTTCAGATAGGGGCTTTCGTGGGCTATCTCGCAACATCAGCATGAGCCCGATATCACAGACAAACCTCCAGGTCCCCCACACAGACCCTGGCGACTCACCTTTGATCCCAATTCCGTGCCCAACACGATGGGTGAAGGCCTCCCCGTACCCGGCGTCCGTGATCACCTCCCGGGCAGCAATATCGACGCTGGCAGCACTGGCGTCGACCAGGAACTGCCTGATGGATTGCGTTTGAGCTTCAAAGACAATGTCCCACACCTACAGCAGTCAGCCAATTGATCTCGCTTGTCCAGGTGAGGATCGAGTTTCACCTCCAGCTTGTCTCTCAAACGCGTCGGGGCGGGCATATCCGGTGTCGGTGGTTCAAGGAACGGCGGGAAAAAGGTTCGACAGATATCCGATGAGTACCCAAGGAGATGGGCGCTGACCTCGGGTCAGCAGTAGCTACAGTGAGACAGGCAACGGTCCTGTGTATCGACTTACCCTACATCAATTAAAACAAAAGTTTCCGGCTCAAGCACCTTCGAACCGTTGGTGCCTCCATGTGGGTTGGCGGCATTCTCGTCTACCCTCCACGGTCAGTCTTGCACCTTTGCAGCGGTCGGACACGTACCAAACAAGACAATATCAAAGAATGGCTCCAACCCAGCCGAGCGAAGGGTATTGTCCAGGGCCCTGGCGATCTCACTCTCGGTTAGACCGGGGTAGAGGCCTACTTAGTGTCAGTCCGTCCATAGGGCGACCGAGTGGGGGATCACGAACATTTGCGCATCTGCCGTACGGCTTCCACGGTCCCGGTATTCACGGCGCGGAGAATTCCCACCTCAGTGTCGGATTTGATCTGCCGGACGCGCTCCACTTCTCCCATCAGCCCGACGATTTCGAACCCTGAGTGACCGAGACCCCGTTGGATAAAGTCCCTCATTTCCTCGTCCACCATGAGTCGCGGTGCTCGATCATGTGCCGAGAAGATGACAGAATCCTTCAACGTATCATATGGGTTCCAGTGTTCCTCCCAAGGAATGATGTCGATCGGCTCGAGAAACGGCATGTTTAGCAGTCGGGCTCGCTCCGCCTCAAATGATGGGGCTAGGAATGTTGTCTTTGCGGTAACAAGGCCCGACGAGTGACGATAAGGCTGCACCACCATAAGAAATGGGCGTTCCTCCGGCTGAGCGATATTAGTAGACACAAGAGTTCTTGGGAAGAAAGAGCGCTCACCTCCCAGACCTCCCATTCCGGCTGGCTCACATTAGCATAGTATTTGAACGTATACCCCGGCTCCACGACAAAGGCGTCTGCCCCATCGGCGATCAGAGCCCTCGCGAGGCGGTTCCGGCGCTCATCGAACTCCTCAACTGAGATGGGCGCAGCGGTATCCAGAAAGTAGTACTCTGTTTCTCGAAGATTCTCAATCGAACATCGCTCGAAAGATTCATATGGTGTAACCGACGACGGTTGCTGGAAGGGGCTGAAGAGCGACAGCCTCTGCCTTCGAGTCAGACCCCCAGCCGTCGATTCTGATGGCGACGCGTACTTACCGGGAAGAGCGCGTAGATGCTAAGCAATAGTAGACCAGCGCTGGTAAAAAGGTGCAGAATAGACCTCCGGTATTGATGCGGTGGTTGACGGAGTAGCGGTCTTTCCTCCGTCAGTGGGAGAGACTCGGTCTGCTTGTCCAGCATGATTCTGCCGAGAGGGGGAAGAATCACAACAAGTGTTTCAAGGGATCCAGACAATGGATTTATCGCCGTGCTTCTGCAGGAGTCGGGGGAGATCCGAGCGCCTGCAGGTCTGAAAAAGAGGGGAAGATGCGCTGAAAGGATGCCAGTTGGAGATTCCCCGCCCGGTTGGATTTCCCTTGATTGGATTCTCTCGCTTCTCCCTTGGCGACTCGCAGGTTATCGCCGAATGTCGCGGTTGGTCCGCCGCCATCCAGGCTGTTCTTCATTGGGCTTATCAGAAATGTTAGTCCAGTCTCTTGCGGGACAAACGAGGCTCGGATCGGCCGACAGACGGGACAGATAGGCAAGGACCAGCAGAGATAAATACACGCACCTCGTCATGGCTCGATTGAGTTGAGATTAGGAAAATGCTAGGCCAGTGAGGGAGACGCAGGGTTGACCGCTGAGATGGCTCGCAAAGAGGATCAAGACTCGTTACAAACGACGGGAGCAGCTCAGCCTGCCAAACAGACACAGGTGCAGATATCACCGGACGCCGCTGAAGATGTCACTCCAGATCAAGGCCGTCCAAAGACCTCCAAACTCTCGGTCTTACTGATGATTGTGTTCTCCGGTATGGCCATTGGCTCCGACGGTTTCAACGCATCCATCATCGGCAACCTCGAATTGGTCATGGAGGTCATCTACCCAAAGACTCTCACCACGGCTGTCGCATCTCGTTTGTCCAACGCCTTTATGGTAGGTATGATCATTGGCATGTTGTCCTTTGGATACTTGTCCGATAAATTGGGCCGCAAGACCGGCGCGGTCTTGACCACCGTCATCCTCGTCCTAGGGATCGCTTTGAGCGCGGGTGCTAGCGGAACAGATCGAGATGGAATGTTTTGGATGTTGATCATTGCGAGAGGCATCGCTGGCGTCGGCGCGGGTGGGTGAGTTCAACTGTTATCTCAAATACTTTTTGCAATTGTTACTCACTCGTTCCCCAGGGAGTATCCGGTTGCCGGGGCTGGTGCTGCAGAAGCCACCGATGAAGATCTGGGTGTCCGAAACAAACGAGGCTTCATCTTTGCCATGATTGCTGACCTGTCGGCTTCCCTTGGGTTCGCCTTTGGTGCCCTAGTCCCTCTGCTGTTGCTTCTGTGCTTTCACCAGGAGGTCCGTCATTATGAAGCTGTCTGGCGAATTTCACTCGCGCTGGGGGTAATTCCTCCGCTCTCCATCTTTTGGTTTCGATACCGAATGGCTGTCAGCTCGGCTTATCGCAAGAGCGCGATGCAGAAGCAAACAGTGCCGTACTGGCTGGCACTAAAGCGTTATTGGCGTCCGTTGTTAGGCACGTGCGGCTCTTGGTTCATGTAAGTAATGCAGTATACGCTATTGTCCGTTGTGATTCTAATCTAATCCTATCGCCAGTTATAACTACATCTCGTACCCGTTTGGGCTATTTTCATCAACAATTGTCGGTCGCGTGAACCCGACCTCCTCTCTCGCACTGACAATGGCCTGGGGCACGCTCATCAACTGTTTTTACATCCCCGGGGCATTCATCGGGGGCTTCCTGTCCGACCGGATTGGGCGGCGGCGGACCATGGCGCTCGGGTACTTTCTCCAGGCTGCCCTGGGCTTTATCCTGGGTGGCGCGCTGGGACCCATCGAAAAGTCGCTGCCACTCTTTATTGTGCTCTATGGCGTTTTCCTCACGCTCGGAGAGGTGGGTCCTGGATCGACGATTGTTGTGACAGCCAGTGAAAGTTTCCCGACAGCGATACGCGGGCATGCCGTGGGATTTGCAGCGGCATGGAGCAAGGCGGGGGCGGCCATTGGGACGGCGGTTTTCAAGCCTATCCTGGCTAGCTGGGGAGACGATGAGTTTCGCGGCACGCAGGCCGTGTTTCTCATTGGCTCCGGGTTCGCCGTCCTAGGGGGCCTCTTGGCCTGGTTTGTGTTCCAGGATGTGGATCACGCGCTGGACAATGAGGACCAGGCTTGGAAGGACTATCTCGCTGCTAATGGCTATGGGGATGTGCAGTGGGGCATTGCAAGCAGCTCAGCGCATGAGCCGGAACCGAAGGCAGCGCAGACGTAGTCTCGGAGACTCCGTGGTCACTATAGAGTTGTCGGTTTGCAGGTATGCTGCCGAGCCGTACTCGAAAGTATCTCATTATGATTGTATATCCTCTAGCGTCTTAAGCATCCGGGGGAGACTCGTATTCTTCAGCTTCAACGAGGGCATTGCTGTCGCTTAAATATTTCAAATCCAGTCGAAGGGAGTGCGATTGGGTGCCGCAAGCCTGCCCTTAACCTTGAGGGCATATGTTGCCGTTCGAGACCCAGAGGCTCGAACTTAGCTTCATGCAGGAACTGACTGGGTTAGGTCAGGCCATATGGGTCATCGCAGCGGTAAAAGTAGACGGCGGTGCGCAGCATCTCAGGTCATCTATGTGCATTCAAAGGAATGTAAGACTAGAAACTTTCACACAATGGTCTCGATACGTTCCAGCAGGCACATGGCAGATAAAATAATATTTCAAAATAATATCATCGTCTGCAAAATTTCATTACAACCTCTTTCTGGCTCTCCCACAGCTGGAGATCGATGGCGCAGATTCCCTCAGCAATCTAGCCCTGATCGAGAACGACAGAGCCACGAAGAACGACCATTACGACGCGGGGCAAGGGTCGCCTCCCATCGCGATGGCAGTACCAATGTGATAGTAATGAGGCTGACAGCAAAGGCAAAATGACCCTCGGCAGTAACTGCTTCGCGCAGCTCTCGAACCACTCGTATCCTGTATTTCGGTCGCGATGGCATATTTAGAACGCTAGTTCCATCAAGAATCACATCAGAATGTGGGAATATCAGCCAGCCACGCTCGTTTTCATATCTCAGTGCTTCTGGATTACCATCTCTATTGACAAACAAGCGAGATACATCTCGCCAGAGCCAGAGGATTTTTTGCATATAAAGAGCAGCTTGTATCCGTTGAAGTCTTTAGTTCTCAGCAGGGCTTACCTTCTACATTGACAACGCAATTTCTGTTGATATTCATAACCCTGCCATACATCTTCAGCCATGTCTGTCACTGCTGGAACGTGGACGCTCGCAAGAGCCACCAGCGAAAGCGGTCGAGTGCTTCTTCGGACTACATGAAGGTGGTAATGAATCCGTCTTCGAAGCTTACCGTGAGCTGGTGGACCGCAAGCACTTCGCCCCAGGGGGGAAGTATCACTGTAAGTATCTCCAACAAACCCCTGCACACGTTTCTCATCCCATTGACAGACACTAGCCATCGTCAAGCTATTCATGCGATACGAAGGCCAGGAGCCTGACGACCAGCGTCATGCCATGGGCACGGGATGGCTTGTTCGCGATGACACCCTCGTGACCGCTGGTCACTGTGCCTTTGACTGGAGCCAGAACGATGGAAAAGGGTTCGGTCGGGCGATCGAGGTTAAAGCGTACATTGGCTACAACGGCAAAATGTCTATCAATGACCCCAACGTCCTGTTCCGGCACGGCGTCCAGATCGTGACTACCGAAGGATGGCTTCAATCTGGGGTGAATCGCCATCATGACGTCGCTTTTATCCGGCTCGATCGGCCATTCACCAATGTCACTACACTTTTCAAGCCGACTGAGACCCCCTTGATAAGTAAGGATATCATTGGCGTAGTGGGATATCCCGGTGACATGCAGATGGATCGAGAGTTTGGCGCACAGATATATGAAGAATTCAAGACTGTCGAACGGGATCGGCGCAAGGCAGCGAACCAGATGCTGGAGTATCGCATCGATACATACAAAGGTGCAATGAAAAGCTGATATTATCCCTTCTACCTGCTAACTCTCATCTTAGGTCAATCAGGGTCTCCAGTCCTTGTGCAGAACCGGCCTTTGACCTCCATCGGCGCTCATGTCTACAGGGGAGCTGGAAACAACTCGGCCAGCCCCATTGGAGGGGAGTATGGGAATCCATACCATGAATACATTTCTGTTCTCCAGAGACAGTATCCTGTGCAGACGACTAAAGCCGGCGTCAAGTATGTCCGTGTGGGCGGGGACAGCATGGACAGGAAGTCGGATGCGGAGGACAGCTTCTAGGAAGACCTGAAGGATGTGCTCAAAGTCGGCGCGCCAATGGTCTCGGGCGCTCTGCAGACGGTCAGTCCATTCTTGGGTTCATCGGAGGACCGATTGCCGCTCTAGCTGGTACTGCCATCTCCGTGGCCGCCAAACGGAGTGCCGAGAGTGGGTTTACTGATGCCCATCCGGGTGAATTCGCTCAGTCTCGCACGGCCGAAGAAGCCATTCTGTCCGAGGCTGCGCGGCAGGCCTTCTTGCGGGCGGATGCCGACCGTATGAAACAACTCGGTATCAGCACGCGGATTATGGAGCAGTACAAGAAGGCAGCTGCAGATGTTGATATCGTGGCGCCTACGATCTTACCGGCCATTTTGCCGGCAGCGTTGCATCTCTCGCAAGATATGTACACCCAAAAGGGTGCAGAGGCAGATAGAGAACCATTCCAACCAACATCGTACGGTCGGCGGGAGCCAATCCGCCTCCCAAGGGATTTTCGAGATGACTCGTTTACGCACTACTTGCTCAAGTCGGTGGAGCGCGAGACGGAGGATGAGATCTTCTGGGGCATGTTGGGTTCAGTGCTGTCGGCTGCCTCCAAGGGGGCGAATGCCGTTCAAACTGGACTATCTGTCATTAGCAAGATGGTGCCGACGACTGAGGCTGCCTTTGAAGAACAGCCAATGGACCCGTACCTGAAGGTCTTGGGACGTCGTGCCCTGCTCGCCGGGGCGACTCTGCAAGTGCTCCGCAATACGCCACCGGAGCAGCTCGAGACAGAGGACTTCTTCACCCGCATCCAAATTATCGTGCAGAAGATCGGGCCTGCGGTGATGAAGTTTGCACCTGTGGTGGTCTCGGCGGTTCGTCCAGTTCTCACTCCTATTATTCAGCCTCCAGCAGGGACTACTCCTCTTGCTGGATCTCCATCCACTTTCGCAGGATATTTCGATGGTGATGAAATTATTCGCCAACGTCCCATACTTGGGCTGCAAGTAGTAATACTCTTGGAAGAGAATCTAAAAATGTTCTACGGCACTCAAGGGTAAGACGGGTATATTACGAATATATGTATTGTCTTTATCATCAATCATACAGGATCTATCTTTCTTCTGTGCCATGCTAAGCCTGGAGAGATCCGAGAATGTACACATCTCCGACGAGGCTCAGCTTTTCAGATGAACTTTTCCTCAGTTCATTATCTCCTTGCAACCCACCACTGCATAACAGTCTGTCATCTACTTCCGAAAAGGCACCGGACTAGGCAAGGCAGTCGGGGTGTTGTCGCGGGATCGCGTCTGCACCAGATGCTCAAAAGATGGCGCATATTCGACCCGCGGGGTGAAAGGGTCAAAGTCCCAGAGGTAGCCCAAGGTGCGCAGGATCGACGAGGCAGAGTAGGACACGGTGTCGCCGGTGATGCTAGTGCCCTTTTGCTCGACATATCCCTTACCCACCCAGGGGGAGATCAGGAGAGTGGGGATACGACCACCCAAACGGTTGAAGTTGAAGGTATAGTCCTTGCCATTCGGGGTGGTAGCCGTGTAGGTGAGGTTGTCCGGCCGGGGAGCCAGGGGCGGAGGCACATGATCATGGAAACCACCAGTCTCGTCAAAGCTGAGGATGAAGAGCGTCTCATTCCACTGGGGACCGGCGCGCAGAGCGTCGTAGACATTCTTGATCAGCTTCTCGCCGTCGGAGATCAGACCGCTGGGGTGCATAGAGTTGGTGCCGACACCGCAGCACGAGGGGTTAACGTAGCTGAATTCCGGCAGGGCACCAGCGGCGGCATCCGTGTAGAACGTCTCCAGGGCCTTGACCTTGTTGGTGTTGTTGGAGGTGTAGGTCCAGTCGTAGAACTCAGCATCGGGACCCGTACCACCAGCCGTGTCCCAGTAGTTGATCCAGGAGTGGCCGGTCTCAGTCAGTTGCTGGAAGATGGAACGCTGGGGAAAGGCGTGGTTATCAAAGGCCTCGTCGTTGGTTCCGTGACCATACGAGGTACCCGAGGTGAGAGCAGCCCGGTTGGGGTTTGTTGGCTGCATCTGAGTTAGCAATCTCCCATTTACAGCTCACAAATGAAAAGGAGATACGTACGCCAGGCACATCCGAGTGCCAATGGTTGAAAACGACAAAGTTCTGGACGAGCTCGGTGAGCACAGGCACCTGTTGCTCGGTGTAGTAGTTCATGACCTGCACGGACAGCTCGGTGCGGTTGGCATCGGCGCTGTACAGGCGCAGTTGTTCGGTGACGAACCCCTGCTGGGAGGGGGCCAGCTTGCCCTGGGCGATGGCCGCATTGTCGGGAGTGAAGGTGCCATAGAACTCGATGTTGTTGCCATAGACCGCATGGTCGGGATCATCGGTGACCGAGTCATAGTCTCTGGCTGCACTGCAGACGGTGCCCTGGGAGAGATCGGTGATGTTGTAGGGGTTGCAGAAGGGGCCGTTATTGATAGGGTTCTCCAAGCCCTTGATGGTCTGACCTCCCAACAGGTTGTCCACGGAGCGGTTTTCCATGACCAGAACGACAACATTCTTGATCTTGGACTTGAGATTCTGGATGGCGGAGTCGGAGTGAGCCTGATGGCTAGGGTTTGCCGGGATGGCCGAGGCAGCGGCAGCAAAGGCCAGCAGACCGACCAGCGCACTGGGATGCATGGTGAGCCAGTTGGAGATTAAGGTACAGATGGGAGAGGCAGAATGCAATATCCTGGTGATAATACAAGCGATTGGCAGGATGGTCGAGGGGGAGCCTTCTTATAGCATCTTTAGGGTGGATATAGAGCTGTCACTCGGACAGGTTTTCTCCTCATCTCTCCCCCTGCAGGGTCTGCACGTGGTGGTGTCAAGTGGTCGAGAATCCATCCATTTCGATTGTAAGAGTCCATCTCATGAGTTAAGCGAGCCATTCGCATGGACTCCATTACCCATTATTCACCACCCCTCTTATCCATCGGCAGGAACACGAAGCACGGGTGCAGCTCCAATGGCATCGATCTGCAGGGGCACGAGGCACGGGGTCGGAGGGTATCTCGAAGGGGTCTCCCCACATCTGGAGACACCACCTATCTACTACCGAATACTACCTTGACTGTTGAGTGTGGCCGAGGCTTGTCCTACCGTCCGTCTTTATTGCTTGCCGATGCACGATCGTCGGGGATCGACAGCCCCCGTGCGTACTCACTTTCGCATGATTGGCTGCTAGCGGCCACCCGGGATAATTACTAGTACTTTGACTGGGTAGTACTCCATACGATGTGGTGGTGTGAAATGACAACATCATGGATGTCAAGGAACCATGCCAGAAGGGACCAATTTGTACCTGGGAGCTATCTACATCTATTGGAAAAGCAGAAAGGTAGAGAGTAAGGGCACAGCCGTGGAATGAAAAAGGTCAGGAGGAATCCGGCGATCGGTAGCTTCCGGGCCGCTCCGATACAACACACACACACAAAGAGCAGAACAGGAACAGGAACAGGAACAGGAACAGGAAGGATAGTAAGGGTTATGGAAGTAACAATAAATTTACAATAGAGTGTCAACTCACAGTGAACAGCCATGACATATTATCGGATGATGGGATGGTCCTCGCATTGACACCCCAGGGGGCAAGGCCACAAGGCCATAAGGCAGCAAGGCGATAAGGCGATAAGGCATAAATTTAACATGATGCCTGACTGCCTGACTGCCTGACTGCCTCGGGATATCTTAATTCGATGGCATCTTTTCACTGTATGCGGATTCTTTGATGGTGATGTGATAATCTCGTTCCAGCTGCCTCAGTAACACACATCAATTTAGTTATCCACATTTACCCCCCCTCCATCACGAAATGAACATTTTCTGTCCCGTTCTGTCTTAACTGGTCCCTTCCTCATCGCATCCGCGCACCGCATTGGGAATAGTACCCTCACCCGGGCTGTCCATCCACCTGATATTGCAAACCACAGGAGGGCCCTTATTAAATCATTGCGCAGTCGCAAACATGGTGACGGTACCCTTTCTCGAATTTGCAAGTGAACCCTCCACTTGATATCATCCACCATGACCGTGTCACCCAACCCATTACCTCGCGACCCCGTTCCCGGTTACGTCGTGACCTATCGCGGCAACGTCGTGGAAAACAGACACCAAGTCCATGCCGCCGTCACCGATGCCACGGGCCGCATCATCTATGCCGTGGGAAATCCCACGCGTGTCACTCTGGCCCGCTCGGCTGCGAAACCTGCCCAAGCCCTGGCAGTTCTGGAAACCGGCGCCCTAAAAAAGTTTGACTTCGACGAAGCAGATCTGGCGCTGATGTGCGCCTCCCACAGCAGTGAAGATCGCCATCTTGCCCGTGCCCGCGCCATGCTGGCCAAAGCTGGCCTGCAGGAAGAGAACTTGCGTTGTGGAGGTCATGCGGCCCTGTCAGAGTCCGTCAATCGAGCATGGATCAAGCGGGACTGGACGCCGACGGCCATCGCAAACAACTGCTCAGGCAAACACGCCGGTATGCTTGCCGGTGCAAAAGCTCTGGGGGCGCCTCCTGCAGAGTACCACTGCATCAATCATCCTCTACAGCAGCAAGTTACGCACGCCGTCGAGGAGCTGGCGGGCTTGCCCTCAGATCGTGTCCAATGGGCCATCGATGGCTGTAACCTGCCCGCTCCCGCGCTACCCCTGCAGAATCTAGCCAGCATCTACGCCCGCATCGCCAATGCGGCCAACGCAGCCCCGACAGATCACCCGTCTCCACGGGCACAAGCGCTAGCTCGCATCTTTCGAGCGATGGCAGGCCATCCAGAACTGGTCGGGGGAGATGGTCGGTTCTGCACCGAGCTCATGCAGGCATTTGAAGGAGTGTTGATTGGTAAGGTGGGAGCGGACGGCTGTTATGCTATTGGAGTGCGTGCTTCAGGCTACACCCAGCAACTGGGGATTAGCGGGGCTTTGGGAATTGCGGTCAAGATTGAGGATGGCAACGGGGAGGTACTTTATGCCGCTGTGGTCGAGATCTTGCGCCAACTCCAGATCGGCACTCCCGCGCAGCTGCAGTCGCTGGAGGCATTTCATCAACCCGAGATCCGAAACACTGCCGGCGTGGTGACGGGGCACACCTCGCACCAGTTTCAGATTAGCTCGGTATAGTTACTAGTAGGAGGGAAGTTGCATATCATGGATTCATCTTTCAGTACAGACGATGAGGGATTGATCTGTGGGGGAAGGCCACCTACAAAGCCTCAAGGCGTGGAAAAGAATACCTACCATAGCCCTTGAAGGTACTACATAGAAGAAACATATTACTAGTAAGTACTAGTACTGCTATGAGTAGTAGATAATTAATATCCTGCTTGTACTACGTATCAACTTCACGCCGACATCGATATATATTTTGGTTCCGGGGTTACGGATAGTACTAGTCAATCGCGATGCTACTGCCATTAAATTGTAACAAATATGAGTCCGAGTGCTGCGAAGTGATGACGGAGGTGTCTGATGACAGACAACAAGATAAGATGACATATTGCCTCGCTGTCATGCAGATAGCGGCTTCGAGAAGGATTCTCTGCCTTATCGCATGGGTGAATGCTACCCTCGGGTGGACCTTCTCCGGCAGTTGGGCTTATCGTGAGGAGGCAACACCGATATCGGGGGCCAAGCCCTTTATCAATCATCATTCTATCAGTTTCCGTCCACTAGTCGATGGACCCTGAATCCCTTCTAGCTGGATAGACTAGTAATCTTCCCATGTCAACTCCATGTGGAGAAACTTTGATAAGACCATGTGAGATAACAAGCCTCCACAGAACAAGACCATCTCCCACTGCAATCACGGCTGGGTTCCGAACAGACCCGCGTGCCAGCACAAACATGATGGTATATAAATTGCTGCATCTAGGCAAGATGAACTGTAGAAGAAGCCAGGAGCTATCATCTCATCAATCTGCATCATGCCTCTCAAGCCCTTTCTCTTCTCCGCACTGGCCACTCTCGCCTCGGCCTCTCCGCTGCTCTATACGCGGACGACCAATGAGACTTTCGTCTTCACCAATGCCAATGGCCTCAACTTCACTCAGATGAACACCACCCTGCCGAACGTGACCATCTTTGCAACGGGTAGGTGGACTGAGTTCGATTCGGGGATTGCGACCGATAGCTACTTGCGACCGATAGCTAACCTCAGCTCACAGGTGGTACCATTGCCGGTTCTGACTCCAGCTCAACAGCCACGACCGGCTACACCTCTGGAGCAGTCGGTGTCCTGTCCCTTATCGATGCAGTCCCGTCCATGCTGGATGTGGCCAATGTTGCCGGTGTGCAGGTGGCCAACGTGGGAAGCGAGGATATTACCTCTGACATCTTGATTTCCATGTCCAAGAAGCTGAACCGCGTCGTGTGTGAGGATCCGACCATGGCCGGCGCCGTCATCACCCACGGCACAGACACCCTCGAGGAAACTGCCTTCTTTCTGGACGCCACCGTCAACTGCGGCAAGCCGATTGTCATTGTGGGTGCTATGCGCCCGTCCACGGCCATTTCGGCTGACGGACCCTTCAACCTCCTTGAAGCTGTGACGGTGGCTGCCTCTACTTCGGCGCGCGATCGCGGTGCCATGGTCGTCATGAACGATCGTATTGCCTCGGCCTACTACGTGACCAAGACTAATGCAAACACCATGGACACCTTCAAGGCCATGGAGATGGGCTATCTCGGCGAGATGATCTCGAACACCCCTTTCTTCTTCTATCCGCCCGTCAAGCCAACCGGCAAGGTGATCTTTGACATTGCCAACGTGACTGAAATCCCCCGCGTGGACATCCTGTTCTCCTATGAGGACATGCACAACGACACCCTGTATAATGCAATCTCTAGTGGTGCCCAGGGAATTGTGGTAAGTGATTGTGCTTCGATCTGTCTGTGTAGCTTGACTTGGGTGCTGATGAGACTAGGTTGCTGGTGCTGGTGCTGGAGGCGTCACGACCTCCTTCAACGAGGCCATTGAGGACGTCATCAACCGTCTGGAGATCCCCGTCGTGCAGAGTATGCGCACTGTCAACGGGGAAGTGCCGCTGTCGGACGTGAGCAGCGACACGGCTACCCACATCGCCAGCGGATATCTGAACCCGCAGAAGTCGCGCATTCTGCTGGGATTGCTGCTATCTCAGGGAAAGAATATCACAGAGATTGCGGACGTCTTTGCTTTGGGCACGGATGCATAGGTATCGATGGAAACATTGTATATAATAATGACCGCATGTAATGATCATGATCGATTGCAATAGAAAGTGACTGTATGTATATCAGCAAAGGACACCGAGCGCTTTCCCCAGAGCTTCGTAAATAACTCTATCCTACCGACGACAACTCTTGATCTCTTATCTCTTCCCCCCCTCGTATTCAGGGCGTCGGACATGCAGGGTGCGTTGCGCCCGAAGGATCCGAGGATAAAGTGACACGAGCCCGAGGATGATCCTTGCATACCGTAGGGCACCTCACGTTCATTGCCGGTTCTTTGTGTCGAGCACAGGGTCAGGTAGGATCCAGCCTTGTGGTACTGTGAGGGACGAACAGATGTAGCCCACCTACCGAAGGGAGTTCGCAAGGATCGTCACTATTTACTTTAATATTGATCAGACGCACCACGCAAAGGCTATCCAGAGATTCCTTGCCAGTTGATCTGGACCATAATCCTGTTTCAGAGAGTAAGAATGAAGCATAAATGGTATACCCCAAGCCTTAAAAAAATGTCATAAGCTGGGATCTTACTTTCGGTGTAGATAGAGGGGTTAGGTGGTATTGGGGCGACTAGTCTTTCTGCTTACAACCCATGCGAGACACTTCACTTGGGATTACAGAGATTGCCGATCAGGCGTGACAGGATATAAGGCACGATGATCAATTGGCATGTCGTCCGCGGACCTGGAGGGGGCGAAAACCCTTAGTTGATCGGTATGATTCGCGGAACTCCCGGGGTCTTCACGGCTTTCGATAATGCGGGATCGGATTCTCTCAGCCTCGTTTATGCGAGTGAGATCCCGAAGGGCTCTCTTGCACCTTAGCTCTCTGACACTCCCATTCCTTGCTCGCCTGCAATAGATTCTATAGGCTGATTTGTAAACCCTTTAGCTCGGGATGGGCTGTTTGATTGTGGCACGAGGTCTCGTCAAGTAATCGTAGCCTGCTGAAAGAGGCCGCTGATGATGATACAGGGCAATCTATTTAAAGAATGGAAAGATATCCTTGATCGATCATCACACAGGTCTGTTAATTATATCTATTTGGGGCTCAGTTCAAGCCCATCGTCGATAATTATCCTCCGAAGATTCTGCCACTGCATCATGGAGCCAGGCAAGACCGGGTTTCGCACGGTCGCAGAACCGCATCCAACACATCTAGTCGAGGGAGGGGTATGTCTGACTATCCACCTATTGTGCGAATCAAGAATGACTGATCCATTAATGTGGAACTGCAGAATTTAAATCAGAAGGTGACTGTGGATGATCTTCGTCGCGCAGTGCCCGACTACTGCTTCACGCCGTCCCTGTTCTGGTCTTGCTCTTACCTGTTGCGGGACCTGGCATACACGGGGATCCTACTGACCGCACTGCACCAGCTGCTACAAACCAGCGCAGTCCAAAATTCGTCACTGCTCTACTACCTCACGGTCAATGTGTATGGAGTATGTCAAGGCATTGTTTGGACGGGACTCTGGGTGATTGCACACGACTGTGGCCACAGCGGCTTCTCACGCTGGAGTGTGGTGAATGACAGCGTCGGATTCGTCCTGCACTCCTTTCTCCTCGCCCCCTACTTCTCCTGGAAATCAACTCATCGGCGACACCATATCTATGCCAATCATATTGAGAAGGACCTAAACTATGTGCCGCCTCTGCGCCAGTCCTACGCCGACAAGATCGGCCAGGCGGTCGAGGTGCTCGAGGATATAGGACAGGATGCGCCCTTCGTCCTTTTCCTTCGCATTTTGCTGCAGCAGACCATCGGCTGGAACTGGTATATCCTAACTAACATCACCTGCCCTCCTACAGCTGTTCCCAAGAAAGGTATGTCGATTTGGCGTCACAGCCATTTCGATCCCCAAGGGGCATTGTTCTATCCCTCCGAGTGGCTGTCCATTGTGCTGTCGGATTTGGGCTGCTTCACTGTGATCGCCGGCCTTTATCAGCTTCATCAGCAGTTGGGTTCGTTCGAGACGCTGTTTTGGGTTTATATTGTGCCATGGACATGGGTGAACCACTGGGTCGGTATGTGCAACCCTCCCCTTTCCCTGACAAATGAGGTTATCTGACAATATCTGTGTGAGTGTTTAGTGATGATCACGTATCTGCATCATACCCACCCATCGGTGCCCAAATACACCCCTGAATCGTGGAGCTTCCTGCGTGGCGCAACCGCGACCATGGACCGCGACTTTGGCATCATTGGGACGCATTTCTTCCATCATATCTCAACCGACCACGTCACTCATCACTTATTCTCACGCATCCCGCACTATTATAGCCCTGTAGCTAGCAAGGCAATCATCCCGCTACTGGGGCAGCACTACCACGGACGGGGTGCATTCAATTACCAGGAGCTGCAGACGGCCTTCAGTCGGTGCCAGTGGGTGGAGGAGGACCCTGGAAAGGACGTAGCCTTTGGTTTACGGGCAGTGGAGACGTTAAAAAACAAGGACGCGAAGAACACAGGGTTGTGGTATCGTGGGGGACGCAGCCCCTTGCCAGAGTTTAAGATGCGCGAAGCCAAATCATTCTAAGGACCAAGGCGCAGAATCCATGGTAGTGAACTTTGGAAGGAACCTAGACCGGTTGAATTCACTGCAATTGTCGGGGCTGCTGCCTAAGACGCCTCCATCATGATTGCCTGCCTCATATCTTCCCTTGTAATAAATGCCTGCCATTACCAACATATAGCACTACTAATGACTTTATGGTCATCACCTTGAACCAAACAGCCTTTCGCCAATAATAATATAAAGCGGATTCACGATGGGGTAAGTCCACTGTGCCGATAGATCCCAGCCGGAGTCTGACATTGGACAGATACACCCACTACTACGGCGTGCGTGACACTCACAGCACAGAATGGGTCACCGCATGGCCCCAGCTGGTGCGGGATGCTCAGCGTGTGGTCGACGCGACTGATGTTCCCTTGTCCGGTCCAACCGACGACCCCCGGGACGACCATGTCACGGTACCCCTGGTCGATGAGATCGAAGGCATTGACATCAACGGTGTTGCAAAGATGTCGCATGACCCTCTAATAATTCATCCCAAGAATATTCGTAGTTTCGAATTCGTGAAAACGGCCGGCAAGCCTTATGATGCGGCGGTGGGCTGCATCCTGCTGCGGGCACATGTCTTGGCCCCGAAACAGTTTCATCTAAGGTAAAGAGATGCACTACCCTGGCTAGTATGAGTCTAGGTTCTGATATGTGCCAGATCTGATGGGTCCTGGGATGAGATGGAATGGAAGTTGGCCCGTAATCTGTACGAGTCTCTCTGGCCAGAGCAGCCCCTGACGCGGCAGTTCTAGAGAGACGAAGGTGGAACCGTTCGGCCAATTTGCAAAACAGTGAGACAGGCTTATTCTTACAGTTATTACCATTATTTAAAGTCCGTAGTGCTCTGGTTTATGGCTCGTGAAATGAATTCTTCCCCTATCTATCCTTCTCTCGGGTAATTCTATATTCCTAAATAAACATCGGCCCAGCAAGCAGTTCCCCAGTCACCATCAGTCCCCAAGCCAGATATCCCCGGTTGAGGGCACGCCCACAATCCATGACTGGTTGAAGTACTTCTGAAGGACCTTTTGTGCATAGGTCTGATCATTGACACAATAATCTCCCCCTGTTGGCCCGATATGTGGACAGTGAAGCGCCGGATCATACTGCACCATGTGCTCATGAACCTCCCGACATAACAGGGTGTTCCGACCTAGCTCGTAGTCCTTCCCGAGCGGAATCGCCGTGGTCAGGAACTCAAGACAAGCCGTATTGTTATCGTATTGTTGGTTTGCACCGGTGCAGTACTGATCATGCGTTGCGCAGATGGTCGTGGCGAGGATCTGGGTCAGTGATGCCGTAGCCTGGCTGGTCGTGCCGTTGATGGACTCGGCCAACGCTTCCACCAGGGTATCCAGCAGAAATCCGAACCAGCGAAAGGTGGCATCATATTGCATAATGCGTCCGTCGGAATCCCACATGATCCACGTGTCAATGGTGACCGGTACTAGCAGATTGCCGAACGAGGTGGCATTAAAGGTGACAACAGTGGTCGCGGATGCGATATTCCCCTGGGCGATGAACTGCGTGATGCTATAGTCAACGGGAACCCCAACTAGGCTAACGTGGTCAGGGTCCGAAAACAGCCCAAAGATATACTCCGTGTTCAATTCGCTGCCGTTGAACACGCGGGTGATGTCTACTCGACCTTGTACCTGCAGGGAGATGTCAGCGACTATGTAGAAGGACAACTACCCTCCACATACATTCGGAGTAAACAAGGTGGAATTAATGGCCTCCATCTGCTCAACATTGGCAGGATATAGGAAGTTGTCCCAGAAGGTAGTTTCCAACTTCCACAGCTCATCGACTGTATAATTCGGCGCAGTCGTGTTGGCCCTCCCCAACACCTGGGGAAGCCACAACACCCCGGCTGTTATAGTAGCCAGCAAGAGACGCATGCTGAGTAGAATACAGACTTTGCTGAAATTTCGAGTAGTCAAGAATATCTTGCCTGAACCTCTGCGCGGGAAGAGCATTCAAATATCGACTGGTAAAAAATGTCAGGTGGAGCCAAGACCAGGCATACACCTAAGAATGCCGGTTGGTATGCAGAGAGGCCAATCATGAGAACGCATTGAGCAATCATGAGGAATCATCAATTGCACCCAGAACTGCTGTGGCATGCCAATCTGGAGATCTCATTGGATGTACCAGTTCGCAGAATCCTCAGCTTGCCACGAGGGTCATTACTATTATATTCTGGCCTGCCGAGAACATCACCTGAACCGGCCTTGGGGTCTACGTGTGGAGTGGCTGAGGTGAGATGTGAAATCCCGTGCTATAGTTCCACCTCTCCTATTTATTCTAAGCTGATCAGCGACATCCTCATACCCTGCTGCGCGGACCTTGAGAGTGGAATTCCTCTGGGGTAACCGGAGGAATATTATAGTACTGTGCTAAATTGCTATCTGACGTTGTATGATGGGAGTCTTGACACTTCACTGATATAGCCTAGAGGGCAACTGAGGTAGCAATGTGGATTTGGGATGGGGACCCAGAATATAAGAAATCTAATATCATTGCGATATGTACTACATATAGACTCATTCTATGTACTACTTGCACGGGATCACATCACTGTACATTGAGCATAGATTTTGCAAAGGTCTGAACAGGCAATAGTACTTAACATGAGTAACGATAATCAGTCTGAAGGGGGGGGGAGGTTGACAAAAAGATTCCACAGCCACAGGAGAAGACCATGCGAATCAGTAGCCGAGAAC